GCATTTCAAACATCTTAGGCATAATAAGGAACAGGTATTTTTCATCAAGTATTGATATGTTGAACTTTAAGTCCCTATAGAATATGATAAAAAAAGACATTTAAAAATTAGATTATATTTAAAAAAATAGGATAAAGAATTCCATGCTTCTCATGTTTGCACATAAGTCAAAAAATCTCACCATATACAACCTTGTAGGATTGCATCTTATTTAAGTGTCTCTTCTTTTTTGTTAATTTTATGTTAATTCCTGGACGATGCTTGTAAATTGCCTATGGTGGGTTGCTTTATTGCTAGTATTTAGAACCCTTTGGAAATGACTATGTTGCTGAGGTATTTTCCAGGTATTGCTGCTTCGTGGGTTTTTAGTCTGTTGTAAGATTCTACCTCTTCAATTTTTTGGGAATGAGAAGTTGCTGCCTGTTTGGCCCAGCCCTTGGATTTTTGGCGTTGAACAACAGAATTTTTTATGACCCTTAGTTAGTCTCATTGTTGGAATACCTGGAAGAATAGTTAGTTAGAACCATTGTGTCACTTTGGCTAAAGTGGTACAATCAGCAATGACAATGGTATTAAACACAGCCTAGAAAATGACAAACTGAACCAACTATTAATTTGCTAACTTTAACCATATGGCTTAGATTTGTGGTTATAACAAAATCTAACAAAAATCAGAAAATTATATGCAGTAAATAATGCCTCAGTATGTTGATTTTACCCTTACAGGAGAAATTTTAAAAGGAGTTAGGGGGAAAATAGAGAAATAGAAGAAGAGATTAGAGGCAAGGCTGGAGGACAAAGGAGGATCATGCAAACTGAGAAACTGGTGAAGACAGGAGGGAAAGAGAGAAAAAAGAAATGAAAGGAAGAACAGAATAACCACAAAGAAACTAGAAACCACATTTACACTCATATAAAAACAAGATCAAACATTAAGGGAGTAAAAGAGAAATAACAGAAAATGTCCAGCTCCAGGTTTGTCTCTGCTATCACTGGTAGACAGTGTCTGGAGACAGAGATTCATGTTGATTTATCCCAGAAAGCCAGCAGTAGCTTTATAGCAGGGTATTGGATAACCTCCGTGAGTCTGCACTTTAAGTTCAGTCTGGTTTCTGGCTCTGAGTGTGGAACCAGACCAGTTCAGCCTGCAGCCATCAGCCCACCTTCTGTGGGCCTGAACTCAGCTAGTATCAGTCAATGGAACCAGCAATTCTGAGTTCTGAGCTCAGTTGGTCCCTCTCCCTTGGGACATCCAATCCAGCAGCGCTCATCCCCAGCTAGTGCAGTCCACCATGTCCACTGCTCCCTTCTACTGCTGTGTGTCTCTGTGGAGGCTTCTGAGGTCACCAGCAACCACTGTGAATCCACACATTGAAGCACTCCTCTGAGCCAGTCTCGTCTCAGGGTGAAGGTGCTGCAGGCTACCCCTTCCTTCTTGAGTTTTCTCTCTTTGCTCTTCCTGTGGGTTTCAGCTGTTGCTTCAGATCCTTCCTTGGTTCAGGGGACCCATTATCCTCCTCCTTTTCCCTCACATTGGTATATTCCAGTGTCTGGGCAGCAGCTGCCAGAGGCTCTTTGTCTGCTGTTCACACTCCACCCTGCTGCCTAACATCACCCTGTTTTGTTGAACAGTTGCATAGTTTTCACTTTGTAACATGACAGGTTCTAGAGGTGGATGGTGGTGATGCCTGCGCAAAGGTGTAAATGCACTCAGTGACACTGAGCCGCCCCTGGTAAAACTGTTCCCCTCCTCCCCGGCTACCAGTTCTGAAGGAAAGCAGGTCGTTGAATTCCTTGTCATAGCTTTTTTTTTTGTCGGAACCGGGGATTGAACTCAGGTCCTTGCGCTTGCCAGGGAAGCACTTACTCCACTGAGCCATCTCCCCGGCCCTTGTCATAGCTTTTAAAATAGCTTTTTCTTAAAAGTGTTCAGTAAGCAAAAAGAACATAGATAAACAAATGAAATCAGACGTGCAGAAAGTGCTCAGTTTGTACATGTCTGTCTTGCTCCTGTTTTAATTAGTCATTCAGACAAAATCCAGCATTTACTGTTTCTTTTTCTTATATGAAGCTGTCATATTTATTCTTCACCTGGTGCTTTTGCATCCCCCATGGAACCTTTGGCAATGCCTGGAGACTTTTATTTTTGCTGACAGTGTGGCAGAAGATGCTGCGTGGCCGTTAGTAGGTAGAGATGGGGATTCTTTTGCCCGGTACATGGTGTCAGTCACCCCTTGGGAAAAAGCTGTGCAGACTGATGATCACTTAAAAGAGGGTTTGGTGATGATTGGATTGTTTTGTTTTCAAAAGAAAAGTCCTGATTTGTGAAAATGGGATTGTGCTTTGGCAATTGAGATTCATTAAGAAGTGTAGTAATCTCCTCAGACTGCTTGCTTGGCTAGGATAGCAGCCTGGGTGTTCTGTATAACCGAATGATGTGTTTCCTTGCTTCTAGAAACTGGCACAAAAGGTTAAGGTGCCTGCAGGACTGGTTTCTGGTGTAGCTCTAGCCTCCTGCCCTTTCCCATGGGCAGTTCTCTGTGTGCTCTGTCTGTCTGTCTGACTGTCTTGTTTGTCTGTCTCTTTCTCCCCTTCTCTCATCTCGCTATGTGGCTCAGGCTGCCCTCAGGTTCACTATGTAGCCCAGGCTGGTTTCAAACTTATAGCATGAGGCAGGGATATCACTCAGCAGCACAATGCCTGCCTGGCACTTGCCAGGTCCTGAGTTCAATTCCCAGGACCCCAGAACCCCCAAACAAAACAACGTCTCGCAGCAGTGCTTCAGGCTCTCAAGTGGTTTGGTGGCAGTGACCACCCTGTGGTTCTCTGAACTGCTCTTGGAGGCATAACACTGTTGTCAGAAGTTTGAAAACCTTGCCAGTCATCATGGTACATGCCTACTAATCCTTGCTACTCAGGAGGCTGAGGCAGGAGAATCAGAGTCGAGGCTACTTTAGATTTTAGGAGTTCCCGTCTCAAAGTGTATAAAAGGGGTGGGGAATGTATCCCTGTGTTAGAACCCTGCCTAGTATACCTGAAGCCCCAGATTCACTCTTCTGTAGTGCCAAAAAAAGAATCCTTCCTTCATTTGACACCATTCCTGTCTGCTTTAGTCCTGATTGGCCCTGTTTCTGCCAATACCATCAATCTCTGTTCTTGGCACCAGCTAATGGGTGAGTTAGCCTATGGGCACCTGGAAAGCTGTGCTGTACTCTTGATATTCTTTCCAAAAGTTGCCTGCCTTTTTCATCTCAATCACTAACTTCTGGTTCGTTTTGTTTTGCTTACTAATTTCTTCTTCAGTTCATCTCTGTCCATGCATTTGCACTTTAACCCACAAGAAGAAATGAGACTTTATATCTTCCAAACTTTCCTTAGAGATCTTTTTTTTTTTTTTTTTTTTTTTTTTTTTTTGTGGAACCGGGGATTGAACTCGAGCCCTTGCGCTTGCCAGGCAAGCATTTATTGTACTAGATACCTCCTGACCCCTCCTTATAGATCTTTTGCTAAATATGCAAGATGTTGTCACTCACAAATTCTTTCTTCCACAAAATACTAGAACACAAATCAGCCAATTTCTCTGCCTCTTTATTCCAAGAGTTGCCTTTCCTCCAGTCTCAGTGGGGCTTTCCTTTTGTCCCCTGCGGTTGCGTCAGAATCACCTGTGATGCCCACATGCCTGGCCACAGTCAGCAAGGCAGCCTAGACTTTTAACACAAGGCAGAGCCCTTCTAGGCTGGAGGATTCCAACCCCAAAGTCACTTCCACATGATGACATATTTGTCACCACAGCACCCTTTTCCCACCCCATTATTGGTGAGTGTCCCGGAATAACACAGAGCTAGTGAGGCATTTAATACAAATGTGAGGGCCCTTCCCTGGCAAGCACAAGGGCCTGAGTTCAATCCCCGGTTCTGCCAAAACAAATACAAATGTGAGGGGCTGGGGACACTCGTGGTGTACAGTCTTGTGCATCCCAGCCTGCCCTGTGTGCTGGCTCCTAGACACTCAGCAGAGCCCCTGGCACATGGCCTTGAGTCAGGCAGACTGCAGGAGAAGCCACTGTGCTCCAGGAGCCGGCCCCTCTGCTTTGCGCAGGCCTTCAGCCTCATGGATGAAGTCTGTTCACACTGTAGAGTTCACGAGTCCAGATGTTCAGAGGCGCAGCAGACTTCCTCCAGATTGCCACAACTCATAAAATTAACCATCTTGGAGGCCGAGGAGATAGCTCAGCAGCTTAAGGGCCTGCCTGGCAAGCGCAAGGTGCCGAGTTCAATCTCTGGTTAAAAAAAAAAAAAAAAATTAACCATCTTGGGAGGCCATGACAGTCTGGACTTTCTAAAAGGAAGGAAGGGCTCAGGAAGTGGGGAGGAAAGTAAAGGAGAGAGGGTTGGGATATAACCTAGTGGTATGAGGCCCTGTAGCCAACCTTGAGAAACACTTGATGGAGGCAGAACCATAGGAAGTCTTTTTAAACACTTTTTTCCCAGGAAGTTGTGGAATATATGAGGCCAGGTATCACTGTAATGCCCACAGTGGTGGTTTGGTTTGTTGTCCTAGCTGGCCTTGGTCGGACTGGCACCCTGATTTCCTGCTACCTCATGAAGCACTACCGGATGACGGCAGCCGAGAGCATCGCCTGGGTCAGAATCTGTAGGCCCGGCTCAGTGATCGGGCCTCAGCAGCAGTTCCTGGTCATGTGAGTAGATGGAAGCCTTTGTAATTCCTCAAGGAGCGCATAGTCCGGAGACTGATGGGATGTATAGTTTTCTAGTAACAACAATATTGTGGTAGGAAAACTCATTTTTGTAATTTTCTCTCTGGAAAGCTGTATTTTGCTGTTGCTTGAATGCTCTAGGAAACAAGCAAGCCTCTGGCTGGAAGGTGACTGCTTTCGTCAGAAGCTAAGGGGGCAGGAGAATGGACCACACAGAACTGCCTTCTCCAAACTCCTCTCAGGTGTCGATGACATTTCAATAAACGGGGTTGAAAATGAAGACAAGCAGGAACCTGAACTGGTAATCAAACTACCTTCATTGCACGGTTATCTTTGCTTTAAATGCTGTTGAGAACCTTACAGACCATGGTGAAAACTCTAATTAAAAATAGTAAAGGACATTTTGAGGGACTATCTTGATAGTTTCTTATATTTACAACCCTCTCAAAGAAGCGTACTTATAAGGGTTAAAGTTGTGTGGAAAGAAGACTGAGGGGTGGCAAATAGAAATCTAAAGTGAACTCTTTAGATATAGTTATTCCTCTGTCCCCATTCCTTTTTCTCATTTTCTAATCGCTGACTTAGGAACTGACTTAGGAACTTAGAACTACTAGTTCTCAGAACTCTTAAGAGACCAAGTCTTAGGAGAGTAGCAGTACTAAAAGAAGGGGGGTGGTAGATGACTGTGGAGATATTAAAGAAAGAATATTTTCAACATTGAGAGTGCATTAGTTTTCTTTATTGTTGTTATGTTTGATAAGGAGAGGGTGGTTGGGTTGTTGGTGTTATTTTGCAGTGTGGCCTAAAGGTTGATTTAGTTTTATTTTATTTATTTATTTATTTATTTATTTATTTATTTATTTATTTATTTTGGTGGAACCGGGGATTGAACTCAGGCTCTTGCGCTTGCCAGGGAAGCGCTTATTCCACTGAGCCATCTCCCCGGCCCCTAAAGGCTAGGATGTGAGGTGGTTTGTTTGTTTTTTTTAAAGCTTGATTTAGGAAGGTGAGGAATATTTGAAGGAATCAGCAGACCACACAGCGTCTGTGTAAATGTGGGGTTAGGTGGCTGCTGTGCCACCTTTGTGTGGGGTGGAGCTCAGTCACCAGCTCCGTGTGTTTTTGTACTTACAGTTCAGTGATGACGAGGAAGTCAGTGGAGTCACGCAAGGCGATAGACTTCGAGCCCTGAAAAGCAGAAGACAATCAAAAGCACATGCTATCCCCCTCGCGTGAGTCTGGCTTTCTTACTCATCCTTGATATTATTTAGTACAGGATCCCATGCTAGCATTTCTCTCTGCACATTTTTCTTCACAGCTGCCTGCCTGTTACACCACCCTGCAGTAATTATGTTCCTTAAAATCTACTGGTGCTTGTTCAGGAAGCTCCTGGCCCATATCCTCCGTTCACTCAGGAGCCATGACAGGCAGGAGAGCGGTAGTAAGACAGGCAGCCGTGACATCCCCCAGAGAGTGATAGCAGATGTAGGTTTCATGATCACAGGTTTGTGCATAGTTGTTCTTTAAACTCACTGCCACCTCTCAGGTAGTCGTAGCTGTTGATACGGTAGAGTTTAGTCAGTTGTGACGTGGTAGCTTCACGTCATCACATTGTTTAGGGCAGCAGGAATGCAGTGTTCTAAATCATATCCTTGTGTAGAGAATTACTTCAAGTTCTAGAAGAAGACTTAGCATCAGAACAGGAAATTCTGTAGTTACTGAGCAGGCTTATTGTCCACATGTACTTTCTTTTTTTTTTTTTCACATGTACTTTCATAGTCATTCATTCATTCATTCATTTTTTTAGTATAACGAAAGACAGTTTATTTGGGGGAGAAAAGATGGAAAAGAAAGTGGATAGATAGCTACCATGGGAGGTATTAGGGGGCCTTAGAGCTGAAAACCCCCACATGTACTTTCTTTTGTATGTGTGTGTTAGTTGGATTTGACCACATCGCCCATGCAAGATGGTCAGAAGAATGTGGAGAATCAAAACACACAGCACAGTATTTTTGTCCTGGGTGTTTGCACCCCTTCTTTTTGGTAACTCCCAACATTTTTCCAGTTCCTGGAGGAAAGACTGGTGGAGACTAGGTGACTTTTACTCAAAAACGCTTAGCCTCTTGGGGTGGTGTGCACCCATAATCTCGGGTCTCTGGGAAGCTGAGGCACTGTGATCTCAAGTTCAAATTCAACCTGGGCAATTTAACAGCTCCCTGTCTCAGATAAAAAGGACCAGGGATGTAGCCTAGTGCAGCAGCCCTAGTTCCAGTTCTCTGTACTTGAAAAAAAACAAAGCAAAACTTACAGTGGTCCCTCACTTATTGCAGAGCTTACAATCCAGATGTCCCTGTGATAAGTGAAAATCAGCGAAGTAGTGATGTTATATTTTTTTTAGTACTTATGTATATTTCAAGGCTTTATAAATCCTCCCCACACGCTTATAAACCTTTCCCACAGTTTTGAAAAACACTTCTAATGTTCTTAACCATTTTCTAAACTTCTTAACCACTGTCTAAACTCGTAGGCCTACGTAATTTTAGCATACAAACACCGTATGGTACTGCAAAAATCTTGTGATACAGCAAAAAATCCACAATAAATAATTTAGATTAATATTTTTTTGAAAACCCACAAAACAGTCCACAAAAGTCAAACTGTGAAATAATGAGGGACTACTGTATGTGTGATGGATTTTTTTTTTTTTGGGGGGGGGGCTGGTCCAGGCAGCTCTAGTAAGGCGTGAGGATCTGGGGATCGAACCACAGTATCCTGAGCCTGACTGCTTTCTTAAGCTGGCACTTAAATAACGGTGCTAATGGGTAGGCCCCCTGTATATGTGATAAGGAACTGATGATAAAATTTCTAGCACACATTTCTGTTTGCAGAAAATGGGCTTTCTTTTTAATTAGAGGAGGTTCTTTGGTAGTGTTTCCTACACACAGGCATGAGGGCCTCCCCTGGGAGGTTCAGTTCTTTAAGGATCCAGAGCAGAGATTCTGGGGTGCTAATCTGAATTCTTTGACTATGAAGTGTGCGTATTGATTTTGCACCCTTAAGAATCCTACTTCTGGGGGCCAGGGAGATGGCTCAGTGGAATAAGCGCTTCCCTGGCAAGTGCAAGGGCCTGAGTTCAATCCCTGGTTCCGCCAAAAAAAAAAAAAAAAGAATCCTACTTCTAAGGGCCAGCAAGATAGTTCAGTGAACAAAGCACCTGCTTCAACAAGCGCAGGGACTAGGGTTCAATCCCAGGCCCTGCATGCCACGCCAGCCCCGGCCTGAGGGAGCTCTGACATACAATCTGGCAACAAGAGAGTCTGGCCGTGGTAGCACATGCTTGTAATCACAGCGCTGGGGAGGCTGCAGCTTCATGGTGCTTTTGTCAGTTAGACTCCTTTATAGAAAGCACCTTAGTATAATTTATTTTGTATAAATTGAAAAAAACTATTAATGATTCTTTTGATTCGGAAAATAATCTTTCCAAAACTAAGTTAGGGAAAGCCCTGGCGCTGCACCTGTCAGGCTTTGTGTTGGAGTCTCCAGGAGCTTATTGAAGTGGAGTTTGGCACTTAGGGTTGGTGGGCCTGAGATTTCTTCATTTCTAGCAAACCTTCCAGCTGCAGGTGCTGCTGGCCCTGGTACCACCCTGTGAATTACAAACCCTAGAAAATCAACAGTTTTGTGGGTTGGTCCCCCCCCCCTTTTTTTTAAAGAACCTGCATGCATCAAGGGCAGGCAAGATAGCGCAGTGGACTAAGCACCTGCTTAGGCAAGCCCACAGACCAGGCCTCAATCCCCGACACCACATGCTGTGCCAGCCCCACCACCATGCATGCTGAGCCGACCACTGAGACCAGGTGTGGTGGCACATGTCTGTAATCCCAGTGCTGGGGAGGCTGAGACAAGAGGATCACTACAAGTCCGAGCTGTGTAGTCAGACCCTGTACCAAATACATTTAAAAAAAAAAAAAAAAAAGAACAAGAAGAAGAAGAATGCATGGTCAGTGTGTTGTTGTTGTTGTTGTTGTTGTTGTTGTTGTTGTTGTTTTCTAGGTTATTGCCCTTTGTTCAGAACTAGGTTAAGAAGCAATTTGCTTGGTCCAAAGTCTAAGTTGGACTTCCAGCAAATGTCCTTTGGTTACTTTCTCCTCTACCTTCAGGAATGTTTTCTAGAATTCAGGACACCATGCTGAGAGGTTTGTAATAAAGTAAAAGGAAACAAATGAAAAGTAGGATTTACATAGTTCTGGAACCTGCTGACTGCCCTAGATCCATTGCTTCCCCGTGGCCTCGGTTTCCTGGGAGGGAGGCCTCACCCACTAGTGTAGTGCACTTGCCTAGCAAGCTCGAGGCCCTGGCTTCTGTCCCCAGTACCAGGGAAGTGGGCCCAATGCTTTGTGTCATTTATTTTTTAGTTACGCTGCACTTTACCCCCAAACAAGTAACTGAAGGTATGTTCTTGGCTGAAATTCAGAACCAAGTAGGTTAGTAAAAGTAACAAGAAAGAGGGAAAAGAAAAGAAGAGTCTAGTACTTTCCATTCCTGTTTAATTTTAAAACAATAGTTTCTTCCTCCTCCCCACATACATAGCTAATAAACTCCTTAGCCATATTTTTTTCTTGTCTTTTTGAGGCAGGGTCTCACTATGTAGCCCAGACTGACCTTGAACTTGGAGAGATCTGATTGTCTCAGCCTCCTGAGTCCTGAGATTGCAGGCATGTGCCACTATGCAGCTAAATTTTTCTGACCTTGGGATTAGTGTGTTAGTGTAAGGAGCCTGAATCTCTCAGAAGAGTTTTACAACCAGGCCCTTGTGGACCTCATGGTGCTTTGGTTTCAGCTCCTCTACTTTCCCAAACCCTCTTTGCTGTATCTTTTAAGACTAATTTGTCTAAGAGACTTTTAAGACTCTTTTGGCCCTAACAGAAGAAGTCAGCTGGAGACGTCCTTTCTCTCCCTGCCAGACCTTTGGTGGTATTTTAGAAACAAAAGGCCCTTGAGAATGTTAGATAGCAGGTTGGGTCAGGAAGTCTAAAATTTGAATCCTGCCTCCCCATTTTAATTCACTTATTACTGTGAGCATGTTGTTTTGCATTGATACTAGTCTTATGGTAATAATGCTTGCAAGAAAGACTAGTAGTGAGAAATAAGCAAGCTTTGGTGATATTGGAGATTGAATCCAGAGCCTTCACACGGAGCACAGCCCCAGACTTTTTCTAAGAACAGGATCTCAGTAAGTTGCCTAGCTGCCTGAACTGGGCTGAGACATGGTCCTCCGTTCGCCTCCAAGAGTGCTGGGATCATAGGTGTACATCACCACATCTGCCTGGTAATACTCTATGGGGAAAGTTGTGCTACTTCAGTATTCCATGATTAATTTCTCCTTTAGTTAGGGGAGAAGTAAAGTTGTTAGAAGCAGTAAATCATGTAGTTCCCATGACATTGGCCTGATCTGCGGGCCTCAGTGGCAAGTATACTATCTATGCTGACACCTGCTGTGTGTATACCCGGAGCAGAGCTGTCTTGCCTTAAGTGTGCTGCTGCTAGGGTTAGTTGAAATTAGATGAAGTTATGCATGAAGAGTCAAGCTATGCCCTCATGATAGTAAGGTAGAAATGAAGGTAATAACCTGGAACTGCCGTGAGTCCCTCTTAGCGTGCAGTAGAGAAGCACATCCTGCAGCATTGTAAAGTAATTACTATGCTATGAGCAGTACTGGAACAAAAATTTGTTAGCAGACACCAAGACGTTTACACCATCCTAAGGTAACTTTAGGTGGGGATGGGTGGAGAGTTCTCTAGCACTCTTAGCTTAGACCTTTCTCTTTTTTAAATAATATAAAATTATGTAACTTAATATGCATTAGGAGGTTTATTGTTTGGGGGGAACATTAAGTGAATGGGTTTAGGTGTTACTTGGAATCCACCCATAAGCCCGTTCCACTTTAGGGTGTGCCCAGCACTTAGCTTGTAATGGTGTAAATAACAGGGTCAAGAAAAAAGATCCAGTGAGCCAGACAAGGCGTGTGCAGCTTGAGGCACCCAGTGCTTAGCACACTGGAGATGCTCCTTTGAGCTGTGTGTAGCTGGCCCCCAGTGTGACCAGGAGCTCCCCTTCCAGTTAGGAGGAGGCTTGTTTCCTTCTAGTAGGACCCAGTCTTCAAGAAGGAGGAGCAACAAACTCAAAGCCAGCTTGAATCACAGGACAGAAATGCCCAGATAAATCTGTGACACAGAAGGGAAGTTTGTCATCCAGGTAGTGAGCTTCTGTAACCCATTTTGGCCAAGTGCGTAAATTTCTCTAAGCTGGCTGATTTAGGAGCTTGAGTTATGATTCTATTGAAATGAGCTCAAGTCTGTGTTTATTCATAATTCTGCTGCCTATGAGCACCTTGAATAGTCTAGGCCTTTCCCCCTGTGACTTAGCTTAGTTTTTTTGTGTGTACATATTTATGCATTTTAACTGACTGATTTCAGTATTATACAGTTAATATGGCAGGTATCTAATGAAAGATTGAGTCTAAACTTTTGTTCCCAAGTGTCAAGCCTGGTGAAACTGAAGACATTTTTTGTCAACATAAAATGGCAAAACTCCATCCTTCCCCCCTCCCGGTTGCATCCCAGTTGCTGTTTGGGGCCTTTACGGCACCTGAAACTCCCAGGTGGCTTGACGTATGTATTTATTTGTTATGTTATTTGCTTTGGCTTCCCAATTTGAACATCTCTTCTTTCCCCTCACCCCTTCCAGATGCCCCCTAGCTGTGCTGGCCTCTGCGCTCGGTAGCGTTGCCATGTGGTGGATTGTGTGTGACTACATCCTCCCCACCCTGCTCTTCTGTCTCGATGGTTTCAGAGCCCAGTAGCCATCAGGACCCTTGGCAGATAGCTGCTGTGTAAGTGTCCGTTCCGTTTCTCACCTGTCCCCTACTCTGGTGTCCTTGCTGGTCCTCGTGCATGTTCTCTGCTTGTCAGCTCTCCTAGTTTTGTTGACTCTCCTTTTTTCCAAGGTCCTTTTTCTGAATCTTTTTCAGTAAATGGGCTGGTGGCAGGAGGGAGGCTTCTCTCTTCCTTGTGCAGCAGAAATACTAAAAATATCACAACCTTGCTTGTAAGTTGTGCTTACTTATAATGTATTTTGAAATAACTATTTATAAATAAAAACTGAAATAGTTTCTCTTTCCTATCAAACATGTTTAATTCACTTGGGATGCTTGGGATGGTTTCCTTTTGGTCAGTGGGCTGTTTATACAGCTTCCTTGTAGTTTTCCGTGTTTGAAATATGTTGTCTCCCATCTAACTCCAAGAGGATTCTCTCCCATGGACCTGGCACGTTTAGTAAGAGTTGGGTTTTGTGGCTTTGTGGTTTAGTGACGCTTGTGTGCTGGCTTCTGGCTTCACAGTGGTGCACTCCTGAGTCTTCCCTGGTCAGCATGCAGAAGTGTCTCCTGTCTTTATGTGCCCCCCGGCTAGCGAAGGGAGCATAGCCTCTGTACCTTGGTGTTTGTGAGAACAGCCCAGACTTGCCCTGCTTACTCCTGCTGCTGACTTGTTCCCTACTGTCTTTGAGCTCCACTTTTCTCCTTTCCCAAAAAATAGCCAGCACAAGTTTGCATTCTCTTTCGTCCTTCATCCTTGAAATGCAGACTTGAAAACTCCTGCAGAAGAAGTGGCTGGGGCAGCCTCCACAGGGAGCGCGGCGCTGCGGGCCACGTCCGCCGCCTGCGCACGCCTGGGCTGCAGTCTTTGTTTTCTGAGATCTTTTCTTTCACTGATCTTTCCAAAAACTGACTTTTCCTGTCTGAGCTTGGACTTGGAAATTACAAAAGAATGCAGCAAGTTCTTTGTAGGATCTCTTCCAATGTAAAATTCCATTGCAACCAACTCTGGTAATTTGTGGTTTCATGAGTGTTTTTATATGACTACAAAGATTTAGGAAACAGTTTCCATGCTTCAGAATTAAAACTGCGTAGCACATTCATGTTTCTGATGCTTTCTTGAATACTTTAAAGCAAACTTACATATTCGCACCTGCGTATTTTGATATAATTAATGGGCTCTTCCCCTTTGCTTTCTTAGTAAGCCTCAGATTGCACATATCCTGACTTAAGAGATCATTCAATACAAAGATTTATCTTTGCTCCCTTTCTAGTCCAAGTGGCAAAGATGTTCGGAGTGGGTGGAGTCACTGCTTATAATACAGTACTTCATTCCCATAGTAAGTTGTGTTTTTTGTTTTTTTTTGGTTTGTTTTTTTTTTTTTTTTTTTTTTGTGGAACTGGGGATTGAACTCAGACCCTTGTGCTTGCTAGGTAAGCACTTCCTCTACTGAGCCATCTCCCTGGTCCCAGTTGTGGGTTTTTTTAAAGACTTATTTTTTTATTTATATATTGGCTACAGAGTCTCACTATGCAGCTCAGAGTCATAGTGATCCTCCTGTCTCAGCTTCCCCAGCACTGGGATTATAGGTGTGCACCAACATGCTGGTATGGTTCTGGGGCCAGGATAGCATGCGGTACCAGGGATCAAACTTGAGTCCTTGGGCTTGCCGGGTAGGCACTTCGGCCACTGAACTATCTCCCCAGCCCTTCCTTCCGTTCGTTTGTTCATTCGTTCTCTTTCTTTCGTTTTCTTTCTTTCTTTCTAAGAAAATTTGGGCTGACTAGATTGCTCAATAGTCTAAAGTGCCTACTTAGGCAAGTGCACAGAGACTGTGTTCAGTTCCCGGCACCACATGCCACGCCAGCCCTACCACAAAAGGCTGAGCTGGCCACAAAAAAAAAAAAATCATGAATGAGGAATTAGGAATAGATCCTGAGACACAGAAGGGGCCCTGAATGAATTGCAAAGGAGCCCAGTTCTCAAAGGAAATTTTACAGAGCAAAATGATGATGTGGGTATAATAGGGGACAAAATTACGATCATCCAATAAGATTACAAGTTTAGCCACTTAGGTAATACTGATCCAGTTGTAGTAGCAAGGGCATGTGGATGACGTCACTAAACGTGGTTAATGATCTATAGTCTTAACCTTGTCTTTAGTCTGAGGGGTAAGAGTTTGGCCCACCGTACCCCTAATGAAATAATAGTTTCTTTATCTAGGACCCCAGAATGAGTTTAATAATGGCCTGTGTCAGGCTCTTTTCAGTATTCTCTATAATATCAATAATCTTTGTTTTTTATTATTACTAATGTTTGCTGTTACTTTTTTTTTTTTTTAATTTTTGTATTTGAGTCTGGGCGTGGTGGCGCGTGCCTGTAGTCCCAGCATTTGGGAGGCAGAAATCAGGAGGATTGCTACGAGTCTGGGCTGTGTCGTGAGATCTTGCACCAAAAACAAAACAAAACAAAAGAAACCCTAAATTTGTGTATTTGATACAGGATTTCACTGTGTAGCTCAGACTCATAGTGATCCTCCTGTTTTCAGCCACCGCAGCGCTGAGATTATAGGCGTGTGCCACTATACTGGGTCTCATGGCTGGCTCAGTGCACCTGGGGGCAGGGCCAGTGCATCATGTGGTACAGGGAATCAAACCCCATCCCTGCGCTTGCCTAAACCGACGCTTACTCTGCTGAACTATCTTGCCAGCCCTTGCTGTTACTTTTCAAGACTTAAGCAGAATATTTTTTGCCTGCTTTGTGTGGGGGTGGGTGGGGTGGGTACAGGGGATTGAACACAGAGCACTGTGCCAAATCCCTAGCCCTCTTTTATTTTCTATTTTGAGACAGGGTCTCCCTTACTTGCCCAAGCAGGACTTGAACTTTCTATCCTACCACCTTAACACCCCCAGCATGCTGGGATTACAGACCTGTGCTACCACACTGGGCTTTGCCTGCCTTGACTTTGTTCCATTTTGTTTTTGTTTTTTGGAGATAGGGTCTCACTGTGTAGTTCAGGCTGGCATTGAATCCACCATGTATCGCAGGCTGGCTTCCAACTTGAAGTGATCCTCCTGCCTCAGCCTCCTGAATCCTGGGATAACAGGTGTGCACCACCACACCTAGCCCTTGCCTTTGACTTTCACATGGACAGAAGAGGGCTTCCAGCAGTCACAGTGCTGGTGACTAGGGTAATCTTTGTAGTCTCCACCTCTCCTGAAAGCATGTCAGGTGGGCTGCTCATGCTCCCCTTTGTCATTGATGTCTAGGACCAGGGGACTCCTCTTGTCCCTGATCAGCCTCAGGAAAGTTGCCTTTGGAGTCTGCAGGGCCCTCAGGGCATCTGTCAGAGCTTTGGGTCATGCTACCCACATCACTAGTGTAGTCACTAAGGGAGTCTTCTTTTGGAACTGGATATCGAAGCATTTGAAGCTTGCCAGTGATACTCCTGGCTTTTCACTTTTCTCTTTGCCATGTGCCCCACGTTGATTGCAGATGTCACTGAATCCAAACTCAGAGTTCCAGGGCTGTGGCCCTGGGTAGACATTGCTGGGAGAAAGCACTGGGGGCCAGGACCCCTGCTCTGCTCAGCCAGTGAACTTGCCTTGCCTATGGTTACTTCCAGGTCGCTGCTGGTGACCTCCAAGTGTAGCTGCTGGCAGCGTCCCCACTTTGGTCATTGATGCTTAGCAGGTGTGGTGCCTGCTGTTACTAGCGCAGATGCAGTAACTGAGTCTTCCCAGGGCAGCTATTGCAGCCTGAATTTCTGTCATTCCTTTAGTTTCAAAGTTCCATAGAAATTATTAGCTACTATTATCATTCAATGATTTCTTCTCAGTTTCTACTAATTTTATAGAGAAGTAAAAAAATAGAACAGTGATTTCTTATTCTGAATAGTATGTAAACTTTGCAGTAATAACTTGGGAAATCTGGAGTCGGATTTCCTAAGCAGGCAGTGTGTTGCTGGTCTTGTTTTTCCCACATACTAATGATTTTATAATGTGAACATTGTCTATGCTTTAGGCCATCAGTGGCCTGCCGTTACTTGAAAAGTAAGTGAAGTCTTCCCTTCTCTATTTGTAAAGAGCAGCTAAGGCAGAGAGCTGGGGAAGCATCAGCAGCTTTTTTATTGTTTTTTTTCTTTATGCAAAATTCTAGATTCATTAAAATAGAGATCAAAAGATATTTCCTCCTCATGTTATGTAACTAGAACTTTTAGTGGTTAGAAGGAACAACTTCTAATGTCCTTTAGCCTAGTATAGTTGTTGTATACAGTTGTATAGTATAACTGTGGTTGACAGTATTTCAGAATAGCTAGGAAATGATTTGAATGTTCCCAGTACAATAAACACGATAAATATGTTACTTACCCTAATCTGACTGTTACCTGCTGTGGGCAAATACAGCAGTGTCTCCCTGTACCCCATAAATATGTACGATTATGTATTAAATATTTAGATCATCTCTTAAAAGAGCTTTTCAATAATCATTGCTCACAGAAGCAGAATTCTTAAGTCAGAGCATCAGTTCTATGTCTGCATCTTCTGTTTCTGGTTAGGGTTTCAGTGAACAGACTGAGAAATGGGGGCTCAGGCATTGGCTGATCCACCTAGGCGCTGTGAGGTCCAGGGCTGGTTGCGAAGGCCTTCAAAGTCCCGCAGGCGCTGAAGCTGCCTCATGCTCCAACTGGTCCCAGTCTGGAGCCACTAAGGAACATGCTTTGGTGGCAGGACTTCTGGGACCTGCACCACCCCGAGGGGCCTGGCGGCGGTCCTGACCACCGTCCTGGTGGCGCAGCCCCATGTGTCAGCATCTGTGTTAGTTTTGACCACTTTGGATTTTGCTCTTAAGCAGCCAGGGTCTTATGGGCTGGCTTCGTGGGCAGTCTGCTGTCATAGGAGGAGTTTAGAGTTTAATTAAGGGAAGTTTCACAACATTTAAGTGATCTCACTTCTGCTTTAATGCTGCTTGGACATTTAGCAAGTAGTCATAGTTCAGGAAAAACGCAATTTTGCTT